TAGGCGGTTGATCGGTGAGTGAAATCCTGCACAATTTTGCTCACAGAGAGAGGATACAAGTAAAGTGAGGCCATGGATAAATGACAGAAAATCAACCAAAGAATTATAAAAGTGGATTGGGTTGTGTATGTGAAAAAAAGGAAATAAAAAAAAAAACTCAAACAGATTGACAAATCTCATAATGAAGTAGAGAAAAACTTTTTAATCACCACAAATTTTTTCCACTGATTTTGGGAGGTTCCACCGTCATGGGTTTTGTTAGGATTTTGAGAGAGAGGCTTTTTGAGGTGTCAGGGGTGTGGGGTGTGCATTTGAATGAGTAGAATGTTTATACAAGGATAATTTTGATATTATTTGGGGAGAGAAAATAAATTTTAAAGGTTTTATAATTTATAAGTAGGGCTCCAAACAAATAGAGGGTCCAAAATAATTGATGGGGTGCTAATAACAATACTCATTTGTAATTTGGTAAAAATATAAAAGATTTATATTTCATAATTGACCAAGAATATTTGCGTAATACAAAAAATATATATTTCATAATTGACCAAGAATATTTACATAATTACAAAAAAAACCTATTACATAAGTAACCAAGAATATTTGTGTAATTACGAAAAAACATTCACTCAATATATAAGCCACCATTAGTAAATTATTCAAAATGAAAGGAAAAAATCAGGAAAAAAAAAAAAACGAACCTTAAGCAGTTGGGTGGCTCTATTTGCCCACCACCACTCATCTCAAGGCACACCACTACTCAAGGCACATCTTTAATAAATTGATAAATAAGCAATTTGCTCAATACACACCACAACTTTCCATCTTTACCCTTACTCACACACCTCACACACAATCTTCCATTTTTACTCTCATTCACTTACTCACACACTCCACCCCCACCCACGATCCATCTCTCCCTCCTTTCTCTGATTGATTGTCACCTCCACATACCTGTGAGCAAAACCAGTGATGAAGACTCCTTAAGACACCGGTGAGCAGAACCAGTGGTGAAGACTCCTCGAGATGTCAGTGAAAATTTCAGTTTACAAACCATTCGACTCTGGACTTTCGAACCTTAACAATTTGTTCGGACTATTGCTGTCGAACCTTAACCACTTGTCCGGAGTGTTTCTTTCGAACATTAACCATTTGCTCGACATTTTAGTGTCGAACTCGATTACAAAAGGTGTGTGTTATAACCCTTTGTCCTTTGTGGTCATTTTACATAAGGTTAATATTGTAATAAAAAAATAAATCAATTAATGGTTTGCCTTGAGATGAAATATGGTGTGCAAATAGAGGCACCCCAAGCAGTTAAGCGGTCCTTATATATATACTAGTTTAAAAAGGTCCGTGTAAGGTACATACTATTATTACATTATGTTTATGTTTTGTATTTTGATAATTTTTAAAAATTAGAATATTGTTCTATGAAATTGAATAAAATAAATCATAAGATATATGATAGAATTATGTAGTATGATATGTATCATTTTTTGATTTGTTATACACCTAATGATGTAGACTACAATTCTATTACCATATTATTTGGGGTGAATTTATGAGTTTTTAACATTTCTTCCAAATTTATATAAAAAAAATTATGGTGTATAACTTTTGTCAACAGATAAATATAAAATAAACACTAAGATAATTCTTCCATTTAAAAAAAATTGTTAAGATAATTCACTTAACTAATAAAGAAACAGAAGAAATTACATATATATACAATGAATAATTTTATTAATAATAAATGATCAATTTTATTAATAAGTAAATCAACAATTTTTAATGATATGAAAAATATTTTTCAGTTAACCATTTTGTTAATAAATAAATCATTAAATCAATTAACAGTTTTTAATGATATGGAAAATATTTTTCAATAAACAATTTTGATAATATATTATTGCACAGGAGAATAATTTTTTTTCCTCTGAATATTGTATTAAATTAAAATTTATAACAAAGGACAGTTATAATTTCTAGTATTATAGGACAAATTTATATTTTAAACAAACCTTATGAGTGTATTTGTAATTTGTTAAAAAATAAAGAGTGATTCGACTTACACCATTACCTTACCTCTTTACACCCTCCATTTTATTACACCACTAAAAAACAATGTGATTCTTTACACCTATTATATTACCAAAACTAACCCTAAAATAAGACTCTTCAAAACCCTTTCATCTTCTTACACCAATAGCTTTTGGAGATAAAATAAGGGAACATAAAAAGATACAGCAAGGGGAAAGAGAAAGACGTAAGGAAGACAATGAGTCGAGCCTACAGCGAAGTGCTTGTTCGGTCACATAGTGCTAAGCCATTTACATTCCTCTGGTGTATCTTGCCAAAAAAAATAAATTTCTCTAGCGTTTTGTTGCTATATATTTATGGAACCACTTTTTTTTTCCAAACAATGATTTTTAAATTTATGTCAGGTTTATTTGGTAATACAATGCTGATGAATTTGAATTAATCTAGTACCATGTTACTAGACAAACTTTTTTTTTTCCCAATGATATGTTGTTGTTCCTAAAAAAATTATATTCATAAAAAAACTTAACAAACCTTGTCTGTAATGAATTTATGATTAGAGTTCACTAATAATGCAGTACTTGCATTGTTGTAATGAGTAGAAGTATAATCCTTTCCAAAAAAAAGTATAAAAAAAGGAAACTGGAAATACATGGTAATAAGTAGTCGAATAAATTAAAAAAATTCAACATTGGGTTACCGTAAATGTATCTTTTATTTGGCAGTTGGTTACTAGACATATATTTTTTGTTCAGAAATGTGATGCCAGACTATTTTATTTTGTTCGATTTTGAAATATCGAACAAAAGTCGAACAATAATCTAGAAAAATAAAACAAAAACCTACCAAACAAATAAAAAAATTCACCGTTTCACTTTTTTGATGGTTCTTCACCACCGTTTTTTCATCAATTACTTTCTTTTATGATCAAAATACTATGATTCTCACTTTTTAAAAAGAGATGTGTAAGAGAGAAGAAAATTTGAGAAAGGAACAAGAGGAGTAGAAATTGAAGACTAAGGGGTATATGGAGATAATAAAATATATTTAATTTTAGTATTTTGTCCTTAAATGTAATTTCATACATGGGTAAAATTGGGAAAAAAAAAAAAGAACATCTCATATGGAGGGTGTAAAGAGGTAAAGTAGTGGTGTAAGTAGAATCACTCAAAATAAAAGATTTATGTTTCATAATTGACCAAGAATGTTTGTATAATTATGAAAAAACCTATTGCATAATTGACCAAGAATGTTTGTGTAATTACGATTTTTTTTTCACTCAACTTATAGGCTACCATTAGTAAATTATGCAAAATGAAAGAGCAAAATTAGAAAAAAAAAGACGAATCTCAAACAACTAAGTAATTTTTATATGGGTGGTGGTATTAGCACCCCATGAATTATTTTGGACCTCCCATTTCTTTGGGCCCTCACTTATAAATTTTGAATCCTCAAAATTTCTTTTCCTCCCCTAAATAATACCAAAGTTGTCCTTGTGAAAATATTCCACCCATTAAATGCATATCCCCCACACTCCCACACCCAAAAAAACCTCTCTTCCAAAAAACCCCAACAAAACCCACCAAGAAGAAGAAGAGCCAATGTGATTACTGTCTTTGCTGCCTCATCCACCATTGTCACAGTTGGTATGCTCTCTCTTTCTCTCCCTCTCTCTCTCTCTATATATATATATACATAATTTCTTAATTTTCTCGTAATAATTTATTCTTTTGTAGGAAAAAAATTATAATAATTGGTTTGGTTGGCTTTTTTGGTAGATATTATAACATTGTGAATTTAGTAGAGAACTACGCAGCAAGTTTGTCAAAGCTACGCAATGAAGGAATAACTTTTAAACCTGATGATGGATTTGGGTTGCTTCCGATAACTTCTGTAAGTGTTAAAAATTTTGACCATTCAATGTGTTAAGAAATTTTCATGTTCGGACTTGCATTCCCGAACATTACTTATTTGTTCGGGAATGCCTTTCCCAATGAATAAGTAATGTTCGGGCTTGTATTCCCGAACTTGAAAAAATAAAAACTTTTGCAAGCGTTAACAATTTTGACTGGTCAACGTGTTAAGAAATTTTCATGTTCGGACCTACATTCTCAAACAAATAATAAATGTTCGGTTACTGGTTCCTGAACAAATAAATAATGTTCGGGCTTGTGTTCTCGAATTTTGGTCATATGTTCGGGAGTTCAGTCTCGAAAAAATGACGAACAGATTTTATTATTTTTGCCATTTTTTTTTTCAAGAAACTTACTCTTATAAGGTCAATTTCCTCTGAGCTAAGAACAACATCAAAGCTATGAACCTCCTTTAAACTTTTATTGTTGTACTCCTCTCATCTTATGCAGTTATGGTTACTAGAAAAACTTTCACTCATTGTCATTGCCGGAAAAGTGTAGGCAGTCAAATGGTTACCACTGTTACCGCCGGAATATTGCCGCCAAAGGATTTTCACGATTTTGAGGGTGGGTAGGTTTTGACGGTGGGATTTGAAGAAGATGGATGAGTGGTTATGGAGGTGGATGTTCTCATAAACCCTAATTTATGATGTAGTGGGCGTGTAGGTTTAATTGTAAAATGGAGTGTTCCAAAATTAATGATGTTCTTTTTAATAATTTTATTTGAGATTATTATTGTAATTAAAAAAAAGATTAAAAATTAGAGGGTCCAAAATAATTTATGAGGTGCTAATAGAAACCCTCTTTATATATATATATATATATATTAATAATTGACACATGCAATTTATGTGCAAATTAAATATTTATTATATATTATATGCAACTTAAATAATAAAAACCTTATTTATCAAATTTGTGTCTTAATTCAAGTCACACCTCTTTTTTATTTCTATTTTATGTTTTATAAATAAAAAATTAGACAATTGATATAAAAAGAAAGAAAATTTCAAGACACAAAATAGGTGCTCAAATATAAATAACTGTATGGATTTTATCGATCTGGTTTTGGGAGACTAGTTTCTCTCTCATTGAGCTGATGTCAAAACCCTAGAAAACCAGAGACGATGGAACCACCGCCACCGCCACCAGCAGCACCGCCACTCTCCCAAAACCCGCCATTATCGCCGCCGCAAATCATCGAAACAATCACCGCTGTGCTCACCTCCGACAAAGCTTCTTCTTCGTCGCTGAAGTCACTCACCCCATTCATCTCCTACCTCACCCCTCCTCTAATCCTCTCCCTGCTCTCCTCCAAAACCCTAGCCTGTCGCCCCAACAACCTCCTCTCCTTCTTCATTTGGTCCCAGAAGCACATCCCAACTTTCTCTCTCAACACCCACTCCCTCCCTTCTCTCCTCACCGTCCTCTCCTCCCTCTTCGCCCACAACAAGTTCTCCGACGCCAAATCGCTTCTCCTCAACTTCATCTCTGCCGATCGCCGCCACGATCTCCACCGCTCTCTCCTCCACCCTACTCGCTCCCTCCCCAGACCCTCCAAGGCCCTTCTTGACACTGCAATTGGGGCTTATGTTCAATTAGGCCACCCTCATCTTGGTCTCCAAATTTTTAAGAAGATGAAACGGCTTCGATTGCAGCCCAATCTCCTCACTTGCAATACACTCCTCAATTCTTTGGTAAAGTACCCGTCCTCCCATCCGGTTTTGCTTTGTAGAGAAATATTCAATGATGTGATTAAACTTGGTGTTTTGCCAAATGCTAACATGTTTAATATATTGATAAATGGGTATTGCTTGGAAAATAAGTTTAAGGATGCTCTGGATTTGTTGAACCTAATGGATGAATATGATTGTTCTCCTGATAATGTGACTTATAATACCATATTGGATGCACTTTGTAAGAAGGGTCGCTTGAATGAGGTTCGGGATTTGTTAACGGATATGAAAAATAGAGGGTTGTTGCCTAATAGGAACACATATAATATTCTGGTTTATGGGTATTGTAAAATGGGGTGGTTGAAGGAAGCTGCTACGGTGATCGAGTTGATGACGCAAAACAATTTGTTGCCTGATGTTTGGACTTATAATATGCTGATTAATGGTTTGTGTAACGAAGGAAGGATTAAAGAGGCTTTTCGGCTTCGGGATGAGATGGAGAACTTGAAGTTGTTACCTAATGTGGTTACTTACAACACATTGATAAATGGGTGTCTTGAGTGGAAAAGTAGTTCAGAAGCATTCAAGCTGCTGGATGAAATGAAGGAAAAAGGAGTGGAACTGAATGCAGTCACGCATAATATAATTGTTAAGTGGCATTGTAAAGAAGGGAAGATGGATGAAGCAAGTGATACTGTTTGGCAGATGCAAGAAAGTGGGTTTTCCCCGGATTGTGTTACATACAACACTTTGATAAATGGGTATTGTAGAGCCGGGAACTTAGGTGCAGCCTTAAAGACGATGCATGACATGGGTGGAAAAGGTTTGAAGATGGATAATGTAACCCTTAATACCATTCTTCACACTCTCTGCAGGGAAAGGAAGATTGATGAGGCCTATGAGTTACTTACTAGTGGGAGCAAGCGAGGTTATATTGTTGATGAAGTAAGCTATGGCACTTTGATTGTGGGATACTTCAAGGATGAAAATGTGGATAAAGCCATGAAGCTTTGGAGCGAGATGAAGGATAAGGATATCATTCCTAGTATCGTCACGTACAACTCTATTATTGGGGGGCTTTGCAAATTGGGCAAAATGGAGCAAGCAATAACTAAGCTGAACGAACTTTTAGAGAATGGGTTAGTTCCCGATGAAACCACATACAACTCAATTATTCATGGGTACTGCTGGGAGGGTAATGTTGAGAAAGCATTCCAGTTTCACAATAAAATGGTCGAGAATTCATTTAAGCCTGATATCTTTACATGTAATATTCTTCTTTGCGGGCTTTGCAGAGAAGGGATGCTCGAAAAAGCTCTTAAGCTCTTCAACACATGGATCTCAAAAGGGAAATCAATTGATGCAGTGACCTATAACACATTGATAATGGCCCTATGCAAAGAAGGGAGGCTTGAAGATGCTTTGGAACTTGTTGCAGAGATGGAAGTGAAGAAACTAGGGCCTGATCATTATACATATAATGCAATTCTTGGTGTGCTTACTGATGCCGGGAGGATCGAGGAAGCAGAGGAGTTGATGGCAAAAATGATTGAGACAGGTAACTCATGTGACCTTTTCTTACAAATGGATAAGGGGCAAGATGTAGTTACCATTGGAACTACTGACAAGTTAGATTTAAGCTCTATAGCTTATTCAGAACAGATTGATAAGCTGTGTACTGAAGGGAGATACAAGGATGCAATGCGTATTTTTGGTGAATTGACGCAGAAGGGTATTGCTGTAAATAAATCTACCTATATTACTTTAATGAATGGACTCGTCAAGAGGAGAAAACCAATATCAAAGGGAGCATGATTATAGGAACTGCATCCTTCGGTACTCTCCTTGATAGTGTCGAGTGGGTGGCTTCATTGCATGTGTCACATGGACCTAAAAGCAAATCAACCAATCAGGGAATCCGGGTATGAATTTTCCCCCTCATCTTAAAAATAGAAAGATAGATAGCTTATGAACATAATTTAGGCTAAGTTTGGCATAACACAAAAAAGCCAAAAAGTCAAAAAATCACTTTCCTATTTAAGTCACATCATCTTATTTAAATCACATCACCTCTCTACCACATCACTTCAAATCCAACCCATATTTCATAAAAAGTAAAAAAGTGCACTTATTTAGATCATCCCAAACAACCCCTTAGTGTATAAAATTTATTCATTTATTGGAAGCTGTAGTTTGGGTAGTGCTATCATCTTCTTTCTTCACAAAAAATGCTTTGTAGCCTATTATTTATAGGTTTTTAGTAAGATTAGTCAAAATGAATATGGAAGTAAAAACTATACAACATATCGACGCTATTTTCATATATACATCCTACTTGCCTTCATAACATATGTATATTTGCTTATATTAAAATTCGAACACTGAAATGGGTTTTTTGGTCTTAGAGACTCAAGTAGTGCTTTGTTGAATAGACCGGCACTTCTTTATATTTCATTGAGGATCTATTAAGATGACAAAAAATAAAATTACAGTCAAGCACAGATAGTACTAGATGAGCGCTCATGGTTGTTTTGCGCATTTCAACTCTCTTCATTTTGTCTTATAGATATGGAGAAATTTTGAGGTCACATTCTCAGTTTTGCATGCTGAAGGAATGTACATTTCTTGTGGGAGTTGATTAAATACTTTGATGGAGGAGATTGTGCTTCTTGGGATGGAGACTTTTGATCTTGAAGACCTTGTTTTCTGTGTTTAAAACTATGATGGAGATGAGAAACCCCCCCGTTCGGACATGACTTGATGCCTAGTTCGATAGTTCATATAGGTGATTCATTCTTGTCATGGCCAGGATGATTCTTACCAATATGTTGCTGGAGTCGTTTTTGTGCTGTTGAAAACATGAGGAAGGTGATGAAAAGAGTGAAGGATTGCTACAAGAGAATTGAGACTTGGCTACACAAGTAAAGCTTCTTTGTCTTTTTCATTATTTTGGGTAGTTTTTAAATGTGCTTTTTGCTTATGATATGAAGTTTTTGAAGTCAAATTATGGACTCATAGCTGTAATTAGGTATAACGGAAGAAGATGAAAGCCTTCTTGACATTCTGTTGTTTCAATGTTAACCCCCCATGTACTTCTATGTTTTGACCTAGATAAGATTTGTAATAAAAACCAAACCAAACTAAGCCATGTGTTCCAAAGTGGGGTATGTCAGTGCTGATAAATGTACCTATCTTTACAAATTTTACCAAAGGCACTGACGTGGCTAATCGTTAGCCACAAATTTCCGAAGTCAACAAAATTTTGACATGCACTGACGCACTGATGTACCTATCAGTATGTGTCTAGAAGGTACAAGTCAAAATTTTAATGTTTAATATAATATTTTATTATACATTTTTTGTAAAAAGTCAAAAAGTTATTCTAAACATATATCTTTTTTCTCATTATTTTTTTAGCCAAAAAGTTAAAAAGTGCACTTATATAGATCATCCGAAACAACCCCTTTGGCTTTGATACCAAAATGATGAAGCCAAATTAAGAAAGAGATTTCAGTAGAGAGAGAAAATCCCAAAATGAGATACAAGAGCACTTTGCTCTGAAAAATTTGTTGGAATGTGTTGCACATCACCTGGAGTTACCCCAACTTATAAAGCTCCAGTTTTCCTTTCCGTAATACCTGAGTTTTAAGGAAAAGTGTGGGTTGGGCTTTTCAACTTGGTATCAAAGCTTGGTTGGGCCTTTGATTGGTGTGCCGTTTGTTCGTTCGGCTAATGTATGTTATGGTCCAGGAGGGTGTGTTGGAATGTGTCTCACATCGCTTGTAGTTGCCCCATTTATGCTAATTATAGGGTTTTAGTTTTCTTCTCTTTAATACCTGAGTTTTAAGGAGAAGTGTGAGCTGCGTTTTTCAACTACATTCAATATCAAAATATCATCAAACTATCTTTCCAAAACTAACTATTTATATATAGGCCAAGAGACCAGTGTTTTAAAAAGCGCGCCTAGGCGAGCGCCTAAGCTCAAGGCGAGGCGAGGCGAGCCGTGCCGTAGCTCTGCGCCTCATGTATGGCGAGGCGAAGCGACATAAAAGAGGCACAGACGAGGCGACGAGGCGCGCGCTTTATGATGAAGCTCGAGGCATGCGCTTCGCATTTCTTCCACTCCAACAGCCCATCTGTTTTCTGTGTGGATACCCACATGGGATGACATCTCATTTACATTATAAAATGATCCAAACGTGGGTCAAAAGAGCAGAAACATTAAAAAAAGCCCTAGTGGAGAAGAAGAAGAAGAAGAAGAAGAAGAAGAAGAAGAAGAAGACAAAGGCGCGACGTCACGAAGAGTACACAACACGCCAATATACGCAGGTTCTCTTCTCTTCTCTGCCTCTGTTCTACTCCGTTTTTTTTTTTTTTGCTTCAGTCTTCTCTTCTGGTTCGACTGTTCTTCTCTTCTCCTCTTCTCTGGCTCTCTTCTCTGCCCCTGTTCTACTCTATTTTTTTTTGCTTCATTCTTCTCTTCTGGTTCGCTCATGATTGCTCTCTCTCTCTCGCCTTCTCGCTCGTGATCGCGATCTCTCTCTCTGTTGCTTCTATCTCTCTCTTTATCTTCTTGATTTTCATATATATGTAATATATATTATATAATACCTATTATATAATGTATAATATATAATATACTTATAGATAATAAATAAAATATAATATATACTTATACATAGTAATAAAAAAAATAAATATATGTATGTAAAATAAAATAAAAAAATTAATTGAAACACTTTATTTAAAAAATATAATAAATAAATAAAATATATATTAAAAAATAAATTATTTTTTTCATCTTCTCTTATTAAAAAAATTAATAAAATACATATTAAATATTTGTTTATGTTGAAAATTGTGCTATATTAATATTTTGCTTAACTTCTATAACTTGCGCCTCGCCTCGCGCCTCGGCGCAAGTGGGCACCTCAATTTCCCCGCGTGGGTAAACCATATCACACACAAGTAACAATTCAAAAAAATTAAATTTCATCTCAACACAAGGGATCTCAAGCACATAACCAATTTACCCATTAATTCCTCTCCCATTACCCACCAAGATCTATGAGCAACAATTTAACTTTCATAAGAAATTTAGGGCTTTTCTTTCCATTCCTTAGTTTTCCAAGATTATTGATGTACACATTATTTTTAACTAAGAAATAACCAAATCTCTCATAAATCTTAGAACGAAATTTGCTATCACCATTAGTGTTTACATATATATATATATATCACCCATTCCATATCACATCTTCATATCATGAGATTAATACATATTCAAACCAAAATATAGTTATACATGGGTAAAAATGTTCACACTTCCAAAGGTTATGAGAGAAGAGACGAAGACCCGAGGAGTGAGCTTGCCAAATAACACGATCCAATCGGTTCAATGTGTAGCTTATGGTAAGATTAACAACTTTGATAAAAGGACAATGATGGATTCTTGGTGAAAAATAGATGAAATCAAGGTTTGGAGGTCTAGGGTTTCGGGTATGGAGGAGAAAGAGGAGAGAGGAAGAAAAAATGAGAAGTTTGGGGCAAAAAAAGTGACTTTAAAGTGCCTGATTTCAAACAGACTGCTCGAGCAGTCAAAACTTGACTCGAGCGGTGAAAGAAAGCTTCCAGAATCTCTGTAACTCGCATAGACAACTCAAGTGGTCAAAAGTTTGCTTGAGCGGACTTGCTTCTAGCATAGATACTCAAATTTCAAACGGGCATAACTCCCTCATTTAGATTCTGTTTTGGGTTGTTCTTGTGTCTAAATCGAAGTCCTTAGAAAAAAGCTTTCCAATGGTGTTAGCCTCACATCCAAATTCAAAGTGTGGAAAGAGAAAAAGGTAAAAGAGTGGAGACTGCTCATAGGACAATTATCAATTAATGTTTTTGGTTCAATTCTACTTTACCATTATGATACCACCTCAATCAATATTCTAAAATGAATCAAAGAGGCTCTAAGTACAATAATAAGACTGTTAAGCGCAATCCCACTAGTTCAAGGAATACACTCTCCCCACCTTAAGAAATTTCGTCCTTGAAATTAGACACTTCAAGAATTAAAGTTTGGACAAACCGAAACAAAAGAGATTGTGGAATTAACACTCCTACTAATTAATCACAAACGACCTCTACTCAACAATGAGTTTCTAGAAGATTCTCCCAACGTGGAAGATTTCATGTGATATGAAAAAGAAATAATTCCCACGAAAGAAGATAAAGAAACCCAATGATATAAGGGGTAGAATAATTTCCAATAGAATTACAATCGCTTCTCCAAAATCTAATTCGAAATCTAAAAGAAACTTTCATATTTCAGTCCCACACTGGTATTTTGACAACACCTCAAATGATGTGAACAACAATTCGAAATTGGTGTGTCTCTCTTTCAACTCATTTGCAAGAATTACCTCTACGAGCCACAAGAAGAGTCCATCGATCCTACAAAACAAAAGTCAAGCAAAAGGTGTCACTAATATACCCTACAGTCGCGTCTCAAACGGACTCAACCTCAAGGGAATAAATCTTTTTTCTAACAACCTAAAATCTTAGAATGATAAGATTTCACATCACATTCACACCCAAGAAACAACTACCATTGACTTTCAAAACTAAAGGAGCCCATGATCACAAAACTAAGTAAAAGTTCAACAATTACATTACAATTTCAAAATATCATTGACTTTTTAAACAAGAGAGTTGGGCAACTTCTTCTTCATTGGGGTGGTTGCGGTTCACCAAGTCCTGAAATTTGTTTGATAGGAATGATCAATTGCTCAATATAGAATATATTTAACCACGTATATAAACATTTGATTTAAATTATGCATAACCTTGTTCCTTTACTTATGGACATTAATTTTGCAACCTCATGACCTAATACACATCATTCCACTTAACTCCACATTTCTTCATCTTCACATGGATGGCGAGTGGGCACCTCAAACCTTCTACATATATTGTCCTCACACGATCGGGCATGTGGACACGTAACATTTTCACATTTGTTGTACTCACACGACTGGGCAAGTGGGTACCTCAATTTCTCCGCGCGGGTAAACCATATCACACAAGTAACAATTTAAAAAAATCAAATTTCATCTTAACACAAGGGATCTCAACACATAACCAATTTACCCATTAATTCCTCTCCCATTACCCACCAAGATCTATGAGCAACAATTTAAATTTCACAAGAAATTTAGGGCTTTTCTTTCCATTCCTTAGTGTTCCCAGATTATTGATATACACATTATTTTTAACTAAGAAATAACCAAATCTCCCACATATCTTAGAACAAAACTTGCTATCACCATTAGTGTTTACACACACATATATATATATACATACATATATCACCCATTCCTAATCACACATTCATGTCATGAGATTAATACATATTCAAACCAAAATATAGATATACATGGGTAAAAATATTTCTACCTCAAAGGTTATGAGTGAAGAGACGAAGACCCAAGGAGTGAGCTTGTGAAATAAGATGATCCAATCGGTTCAATGTGTAGCTTATGGCAAGATTAACAACTTTGATAAAAGGACAATGATGGATTCTTGGTGAAAAATAGATGAATTCAAGGTTTAGAGGTAGGGTTTCGGGTATGGAGGAGAGAGAGGAGAGAGCAAGAAAAAATGAAAAGTTTGGGCAAAAAAAGTGACTTTAAAGTGCCTGATTTCGAACAGACCGCTCGAGCGGTGAAAGAAAGCTTCCTGAATCTCTGTAACTTGCACAGACCGCTCGAGCAGACTTGCTTTCAGCACAAATACTCAAATTTCAAACGGGCACACCTGCCTCATCCGGAATTTGTTTTGGGTCGTTCTCGTGTCTAAATTGAAGCCCCGGAAACGAGCTTTGCAATGCATTAGTCTCACATCCAAATTCAAAGTGTGGAAAGAGGAAAAGGTAAAAGAGTGAAGACTACTCGTAGAACAATTATCCATATCAATGTTTTTGGTTCAATCCTATTTTACCATTATAATGCCACTTCAATCAATATTCTAAAATGAATCAAAGAGGCTCCAAGTACAATAATAAGAGTGTCAAGAGCAATTCCACTTGCCCAAAGAATACGAAGTGTTATAGTCTGATTCGTTTAGTTTCCATGCCCAAGGATGGTAGAACATGACTAGATTTCATATTTTGTATAATGGTATTTCCAAACTGACAGAGCGTTTTACGAACAAAATAAGAGTTTTATGCATAGTTATATAATGAACATGACATGACTACTTGAGGCATACCAAAGAGTGCATGTTCAACAAGGCATGCCGCCTAATACATACCGTTGCTCAAAGTATTGAGTGTTTGACACAGGTACTTCACAAATTTAAAAGAGTTCATGTAACATAGGCCCATAGCAGTCAAATTGCCATTGATGTTGTTGAATTTGTGAATTAGATGGGTCAACCATGATTTTGCACGGAGCCCTGAAATTTGAGAATTAGAGGGGAGTCCATTTCTCAATATAATAAGTTGGGGTACTTTAGATTATGAAAGCTGACTCAGTTTTGAGATTGTGGGTTTGAACATGAAGGCAATCACTTTGTTCAAATTATGCCACAGGTCAAATCTGTACCCAATCTATCCTCCCACACCCACATCTAATGGAGACTAAATTGGGTTTCCTTTTTTTGAAAGCTGACTCAAGAGAAAACCATGAAGCTTATGCTTTGTGTAATGTATTGTGAACCGTACCATTATTTCCTACTTCTTCTTCTTCTTTTTTTTTTTTTTTTCTGGATTAGTAAATTGTTTTAGAAAGGCTCCAAAAAGCAAGGGTGCAAACGTTATACACAAGCAGTATGCATCGGAAGCTATCTCTACAGGAATATACAGTTATGAAAACTGTAAAAAACAATCAAAAGCAAAAGCAAAAGGGAAAGAATCCATATATATTCAAAAAAAAAAAAAGAAAAAAGAATCCTTGTATGTAGAATTTAAATTAATTGCTATGTATTTTTTTTTTGGGTACTGTTTATTATGTATTTTTTTGAAGTATAATTTGTCCAATCAAGCACATGAGACCTTGCTCATTAGAAGGAATGTAGATGTCTTGATCATGTTTTTTCGGATACCATTTAAACTCAAGGCTGCTCCTTTGGATTCTATATCTACTCCGTGTCAAACTCTAGTAATATGATTTGGTTTACTTATATGAACTGTTCTGACATTTTTTCCCCTTGTGATTTGTATTCAGTGTCCAGGGCTCAAAGTTCGACTCCACCCGGATTTTCAGTGCCATCCAGACAACCACCTCCTGGGTTTTCTACATGTGAGAGAACAAACCAGGTTGTTAATGCCACCTCTGGTATGCCTTTCCCTCTCTTTCACACTCTCTCCGCGGATTACACATGTTGGCTTGTCTTTGTTTGAACAACTAAGCTTCTCTTCTTTCTATTCCTCCTTTGCATTTCAGGGATTCATTTGGTTAAGATGACTTCTTTGCCAAACAATCAATATTGTGCACCGTCAACAGAAAATATTAACACTTGCGATTTTGATTTTATGGATCCTGCCATATTGGCTGTTCGAGGGGATAAAGCAACATATGGGTTGGATAACTCAGGCTTAGAAATGAGGCCAACTTCTACACCACAGCTGACCTATGAAGATGAGGCAAGGCTTTGGATCTTGATGCAACAATCTGCATCTGCACATCAGGACCCAAAATTTTCTTCGATCTTCATGCAAGACCGCTCATTCGCGCATCAAGAACTGAGATTTTCTGGTCACATGGGTTTTCTCCCATGGGTGATACTTACAGTATTTCTTCTAGGCTTATGGATCAACACCAGACCTATGATCCATCTCCTTTGACGCAGTTGTCACAGCAGAAATATGGAAACGGACAACTTTCAAATTGCTATTGGTCTGGTCTGGATGCGTTCAGACTTGGGAGTGAAGTGAGCATGACAGAAATTCAGAGAAATGAGATATTAGGATTGAACAAGTTATTCCCTGGGTATGGGGATTTAATGTCGCAGACGCCCAGCTCAGGTGATGTATACAATAAGGTATATAGGCTGTAACTCTTATATTCTCGTGTAAAAAATGAAACTCAGCCTTGTCAGCTTTCGTGGCATCCTAGTTTCAACAAGGGCTGAAATATTTCTGGCTATCAAGACCCCTCTGGTGTTGTAGGATTGGTCTCTAAACCATTTTATTGCAAAGGAGGTGAAGGATCTTATTACACTGCTTAATCTTGTGGTGGTCCAGTTGAAGCTGGCTGGCGGCAAACTTTCTGTCCATTCTGTTTTCGGGATTTGTTCAACTCTGGTAAAAATGATTACAAATCTTCAGCAAAAGATTCTGATTGTAGACTTTGATGGACCTTGTTGAGGATCATTCTGCAATATTGCACTATATCTCTGAATTCTTGCAGGGCAGGAGTGATTATACCAGAAGCCTGACTTCTAATATTAGAATCTGATTGTGAATGCCTATGGCTGCTTTAGGGCATTTTCACATACCTCATTATAGGATTGGAAGTCTTGGTTGGGTAATTACTACTGTTTGATGCTCCGGTTGGTGGGTGCTTTTTGGTTGAGATACAGGTTTTGCCCCTCTTGTTAAAAAGATTTTAGGCCCATGGAATTTGAAATACACTCTACTTAATTCTACACATAGTAGTGTAGGTCTTTCATCACGGGTAAGAAAAGTGAATGGTTTGAGCTGCAAAAGAACTACGAAAAAAATTGTTCTTTCTTATGGTAATGAAATTAGCCATTGTTTGGAATCATATTATTCTAGTGAGTCCTGTGTCAGTTATGTTGTGGAAATTGCAATATAATGGCATGTTTGATTGGAAGGATTAGAGCATGGTATTGGGATTATTAATCCGCAGGTCTAATTATCCTATGTTTGTTTTGACATTTTGTTTTAGGATTATCAATCCAATGGATAATTAATCCAATAAATTTGTAGGATTATTAGTAATGGAGTAGGGGTGGGACTATGAATACCACACTAATTTGATTGGATTATTAATACCTCACTATTAGTGTTGTGGAATCAAACATGGCATAACAGTACAGTTTAAGGCACAGTTGGGAGGACAGCAGCAAGAGTTGCAACAGTGACCCTGCATCCATAAAGTTTTTCATGAATTTGAAAATATTTTATGACGGTACCGGTGATTTGTAATTCTCTATTTATTATATTTGTCAGTAAGAAAAATTTGTAAATTTTGTTAGTTTGTTTAGCATTTTACTACACTAATTCTGTATTCATGAGTTTAGTCCGTCTAAAGTAATGTTTGGTTTATTATAATGAAGATAGGCTGGAATGATTATTTCACTAGAATATTTATTGTCATATTTGGTTTACTAAAAGATTATGAAAAATGTATTGTAGATAGAATCATTATCTACTATTATAAGAGTATAATAATTTCATATAGAAACTAATTTGAAATGTCTTCCACTCAACATGAGAGAAATCTAACTCTTTAGAGTTGTAAGGATGTTTGTTCCATAAACTCACTGAAAACTAGAACTGGGATTGGTGAACCGCTTTACTTTTCATCTGTATGAGTGGTAATCAAGATGGGAAATGATTTTTTTTTTTCTCAGGAAAATTAACTTTTTCACCCACCTATATGTTAAAATCTTTTTTTTTTTGTTTTTTTTGGTCGTCATTGGTTGTTGTAAAGTAGTGGTGGATCTTTTCAAAACAATAGATATCGGCCAAAAGGGTTAGTGAAAATGGTGGATAATGTTCACGTACTCATCAGGTGAGTGAACAAAATCAATATTCTTAGAAATAGGTAAGCCACTAGAAGGCTAGGGCTAATGTCCCGCGTCGGTTAATTGATTCTTGAAAAATGCCTAAGACCCCAGTGGGGTTACTGGGAGTCGTGCGTGTAGAGACACCATTGGCAAAAAAAAAAAAAAATTGTAAAAAAAAAGTTTTTTTTTTTTTGTTTGTTTTTGTTTTTGTTTCAGCGAATGAGGGTCCGTCACGTCACTGGGGGTCGACCCCCACTGGGGGTATTTAGCAGCGCTGTTGATTCTTGTTTACACATAATATGTGTATTTTAAAAAGGCAAATACTAACAAATTTTTTTTTTTTTTATATGCGCTGTTTAATGTTGAAAATGTGTAAAAAGAGTTTTGAAAATGATAAAAAAATGTGTAAAATAAGTAGAAGGTGTTATGAAATTAATTGGGTTCAGAACTCTAATTTTTTTTTTATTAATCTTTTTCTTGTGTGCTCAGGGCACTTGTTATTAAGACTTTAAAAAATAAAAAATTAAAATTAAAAACAGATATTAAATGATTGAAATTTTGTGGGGGATCACTCCACACTGCACCTTCATGTCTATTCTGTGACTTCTTTTATTTTTATTTTTATTGTTAATTAATTTTATCTTTGAAGTCTAATGTTTTAGGTGAATGCTTAGTCATGATATGTTTTCTAATAAAATGGCCACTGAAGTATATCCAACTTCAATAAGAACTTATTATTACATAATGATATACCAATCGTACAATCTTTTTGTGAGCCTTTTAATTAGCCTGTATTATATGTTATTATATGATCTCCACAAAAACAAAAGATCTAACTAAGGTCACGTTTGATAACTACATATTTTAGTTAAAAAATTAAAAAATTATTATAAATTGTCATATCATTTTTTTTTCCTTTTTTTTTTTCCCCACATCTTCCTGTAAAAATTCAAAAAATTACAAAAACAACTTATTCCAAAACAAGGCCCTTGATATAGTATAGTAGTGGAAAAGGGCAATCATTCTAAAGAGCAAGTGGATATGGTGGTAAAAAAAGGCAGTGGAATGCTATTTCCGAAGCAGCTTCTCTCTAGTTCATGATAAGATTGGAGAGATCCAGTTTAATTATTTTCATGAAGCTCGTCTTAACGATTTGAATCATTTATCTTGTGAGGCTTGTTGAATATATTAGATCTAAAAATCAAGTGAATCGAATATTGATAACCACTTGATCAAATTAAATTTATTTTTTAAAAAATAGATAGTATCTTCAAAACAAACGGCATATGTAACATTGTTCTAGTAATAAAAATTAAAAATAAAGGGGTTTGAGATTTTTTTTTTCTCCCAACTTTTTCATATTTTATGAGATTGTTGCCCATCTATTCAAGTTGGGGAACTACTGCATGACACAATTATTTTTGGTACATCTATTGCATATTTTGAATATAATTAAATCATTTTAAGTCATAACAAAAAAAAGGTTATTTTGAAGATTTTGGAATATTGTCCCGCACTCCTAGTAGGTCCTTTCATTTAAAGACGGTCCTAACATGATAGCGTGACATTCAGAGGCATTGAAGTATTGTAGTGCACTACCAAAAAACTTATGTTATTGTTGACTACATAGTCAATCACAGTTCGACACGTGGTAGGATGAGAGCAATATGCGAAGACAATTCAAATCTTCGATCGTAATCGTACACGTGACAGTTGGTATTGGTTTTTATAAGATCTGCGTAGCACTGGATCAGCAAAGAGATGCAAAATGACGTGACTTCAACGGTTATTCATATTTACATTCAAAATCAGGAGGGAAACCTAAATTGCAGATATGGTATAGTGGAACTAACTATAAGGCAACATGATCAGCGATCATGGAGAGGCAGTTCGACGGTTAGAAATGCGGTTCGACGGTTGTCATTGAGAACTATAAATAGCAGAGAAGGCCCCAGAAAGTGGCCCGGACTCAGATCCAAAAAACTAATTTTATCTGCTTTATTTTTCCTTCCAGTTTTTACATTTCTTGTTCTTTACATTTCTGTACTTCAAATTCCTGCATTGCATTTCGTTTATAAGAGTAGTTTTCAAGTAGCTTGTTACTGTAAACCTTTACGAGACTGATTTGGATCTTTGTAAGTCTTTCATTTTGCTTAATAAAATGCTACAATTATTTTTCATTTAATCATTGTTTGCTTAATTCTCCTAAACAAAGCCACCAGTAAAAGTCCTTTTCATTGAGGTTTTTACATTTCTTGTTCTTTACATTTCTGTACTTCAAATTCCTGCATTGCATTTCGTTTATAAGAGTAGTTTTCAAGTAGCTTGTTACTGTAAACCTTTACGAGACTGATTTGGATCTTTGTAAGTCTTTCATTTTGCTTAATGAAATGCTACAATTATTTTTCATTTAATCATTATTTGCTTAATTCTCCTAAACAAAGCCACCAGTAAAAGTCATTTTCATTGAGGCTGAAAGAACTAAAACACAATCGTCTGATAATTGGTTGGCAATTAATATTCTGTAAGGACTGATTGATCTTTACTGGTATGCTCACAATTACAAAAATAACATTCGAAAGCCAAAAAGTCAACAGTTATACAAGTTTTAGAGAAATGAAATTGACAGTTAGCTTTGAAGTTTCTCAAAAAGAGATAAACAAAAGTTCATTCATTGAGTGACAAATGAGAAATTCCTGGAAAGTAATAATTCCCACCGCGAAATAGTGCATCTACACGCCTTCATTGATGTTTTTCGACCAAAAAACCGAGAGCGAACTATTGAGATTTGGGAGTGTCCGGACACATACTTTGTGAAATGGTTCAGAGAGAATGTAGAGATTGACCCCTAATAGTCCACAGGGGTGAGTTGTAACAACTTTTGGCATCAAAGATTACTAAGGTGGGATGTACCTATTTGTTTTGATGTGTGAGGGTGAAAAAAAAAACCCATATTCGAATTCCATTGTTTGGGTACTTTAGAATCTATTCTGGATATCCACTATTGCGACCTACTTGTTGGAAAAAAGGCAAATCAATTAATATTGCTTCCTCTTTATCTTGGGAAAAGGTTGCAGCCTTCATTTCCTCAGCAGCATTTCCTGTGGTCACAACTATGTAAAATTCACAAAGATTAATGCTCATTTATTTTCACCCAAAAAAAAAAAAATTTCTTAAAAAATATTTTCTTCTGTTTAATTATCACCCTTGAAAAATTTTAGTTTGAAAAATAAATTGTTAATTGCTACTTGTTGGAAAAAAGGCAAATCAATTAATATTGCTTCCTCTTTATCTTGGGAAAAGGTTGCAGCCTTCATTTCCTCAGCAGCATTTCCTGTGGTCACAACTATGTAAAATTCACAAAGATTAATGCTCATTTATTTTCACCCAAAAAAAAAAAAAATTCTTAAAAAATATTTTCTTCTGTTTAATTATCACCCTTGAAAAATTTTAGTTTGAAAAATAGAGCCATGATAGAGACCCCCTCTATTCACCATCCCCACAACCCCACAGACATGTGGCGGGTGATGATTGGAGAAGCAGGAAAAAAAAAGAAAAGAAAAAGAAAATGTAACCAATGAGAGAGAGAGAGAGAGGGGGTCAAAGGGGGTGGGAGAAAAGGGGGCATGAAACATTTTTGAAAAATAAATTGTTAATTGTTAGATTTACTCTTGGGGGCAGTTGAATACCAAATTTCTCCCTTTCAAGCACTTAAAGTGCTGCTGCCTTCATGCCACTAACCTAACCAAATAAGAGAACAATAAATTTTTTTCTCACTTCATTTTCTTTACCTACTTTTCTCTTTCTTTTTTATTTTTATTATACAAATCTAAAATCCAAACACAATTTGAGATGCAAGTGATGATATGATAGTGATAGCCTCAAAGGAGAGAATGGAAATACCACAAATATAACAAGTTCTTGAAGAAGTATATACATCATCTTAATGTGGATAATATACACTCAAAAACGTTATCAATTTCAACTACTCTTTACTTGTTTGAAGCTTATTGTCAAGCCAGCTGACCTTCCAAAGAGTGCGGAAAAAGTAAACCAATGTTGTTTTCGCAAAGGAAAGTACAAGCTGAAAACAAATTATTGAACCCTAACTGGTTGTTTCTAGCTCTTGTGATTGTAGAAATGGGAAATGTTGGTGGTTTGTGTCGGAAAGTATGGGGTGATGTTCTGCAGATTTTGTGGGGCAAGCGTAGCTGACAAAGTAGTGGTGGGAGTGGAAGGAGGGAATCCTGATGATGCTGCAGCGGAGAACAGTGCCACCGGGCTATCCACACTTTGGTTCTGCATTTTCCATGCCCAGTTTGGGAATGCCGGTGAAGGAATGGCTTCAGTCACCTTCCCTAGTGCTCTTTCCTGTTTAAAAAAAATAACAATAATAAATAAATAAATAAAATAAAAAATTGTCAGCATCATTTCTTGCAAATCAAAAACAGATTCTCAACTTGCTTTCTGTCTGGGTTTGCAATTTGCATCTTCCTTTAAATGTAATTCTCAATACAGAAAAGTAAATCTACAGTCAGTCTCTGGTGGGTGGGTCGTTGGGGGGACCTGGTGATATTTCTCAAGCAAAAAGTAAATAATCAAAAAGTAGAAACTAATAACACCGCTTCCTCCCTAGCTTCCACAATCAGTTATTAAAGCTATTTATGCCTCATAAGATATAAGCAAAAACTGTACCAAGCTTTCTGACACTCATTTTCAAAATAAATAAAGAAAAGCAGTTCCAATAACCTGCACCAAACAGGGCCTAAGGACCAGTGGTTCAAAACTTATAGATTGCACTGTATCATGCTTAGTAGAGGAGTAAAAAGCACCATTAACTTTTTGGTTTCACAATGTCATAGTAATATTATCACGAAGGAAAAATAAGGTCCAAAACTAAAAATGCTAGTGGCATTTTTTGTGGCTAATAAAGAAGATTCTATGTGTGTTTATAACTAGATGATTATTAATTACATATAATGATATCATGTTATAGATTTCCATCTTATTGGAAATGTTAAAAAAACAGTTGATGAGATAAAAATTTGCAAATAATTGTCACCATAATTTTCATTACTTGGGTAAGGAAACAGAAGCACAAACTGAAGCTCTGATCAGTCAGAAAGGCTTCTTAGTAGGGTAATCTATGATTGATGAGTTCCGCTATTATTTGCTGATCTGCTCAAACAAGGATGACTTTTGAATTGATATGTGATGTTTGCCTGCCTCTGCAAATGTTTACTGTGCCATTGGGTATTACACAGATTGCATTTCTCTAATGTTTTACAAGGTAATGTTCATAATGAGATTTGACACAACTGGTAGCAAGATAGTCACCTCATAGTTTGGTGTGAAACTGGGATGATTGCCAGACCATACTGAAGAGTTCTTGGATGCCATAGTCAGACCTTGGATATTTCTTCCATCAATAGGACTAGAAACAGAGGTCTCAACCTATAAATTACAAAAAAAGGATGGGACAAATATTTTAAAAGCAAGGCTATATGGAAGATCTTAAGATTTTGCTATAATGAGTTGACAAGAATTTAAGAAAGAAATCATTTAAAACAAAACTAGTTAATGGAAACACACTCTTCATCAAAAGATTACCTTCGGCCTTTTCCCATCAGGCATTTCACAAGCAGCATATTGTGATTGAAAATTTCTGACATTGTCATTCCCCTTTGGAACATCTGTAGGTGCAGAAATCCAGAGATTCAGATCAAGATTCTGGGCAGTGCTTCCATCTGAAACAATCATAAGAGTGTTAAAATTAACAAGAAATTTTTATGTTTTAAAAAACTTGGGGCATTTTAGACCAAGTATAACAGAAGTTATACCTGGAATATTGGTGTCAAAACTTATCTCTCCTTCATAGGTACTAGCCTCAAAGTTGGTGATCGCTTCCCTTCCGTTACATTTGATGGCTGCTTTATCATAAGCCCTGGATTCAAAAAATTAAAATGGAGAATTTGTTGGATGAAGCCCAATAGGTTTTTCAGATTTCAGAGTGAGAAATCCAGTATATGAATTCATGAACACAAGGACCTTGCAGCTTCTACTTCACTGTTGAATAACCCAAGATATATATACCTGAAAGCAAAGATCATAATCTCATACATAAAAGGGGTCCACAAGCATTTCTGCTTCTAAATTACCATCCTAGAATCTAATCTAGATTTAGAAAAAAACAAAATGCAAATACAATATCTCAAAAGCCAAATGAGAGTTCATGACAACATATACCAAGTTTATAGCTCCCAATATTTAATAATAAGATTGTCTATGTAATGAAAGTATATAGTTTAAGGGCTTCTCACTTCTTCCCAAGGAACTGCCCCATTCGAGCCTCCCATCGACCACATTTGTGCAGGGTCACTCCTCTATATTTTGAGCTCCCTCGAGAGAATCCGGTGCTTCGGCGACGAAGTATTTGCACAAATTCCTCTTTAGTCAAGTTTGTCATCTGTTAATTGATTAAAAGACAATTAGGGGGCAACAAAATATGCTTAGAATAAAGATAAAGAAATTGAACAATATCTTGCCCTACCTGTTTCATATCTTCTTCGTAATTGCTTAAACTGAAATTGATATCAGCATCAAGTCCCCTAAACTTAATCGCTGCCCGATCATATGCTCTGAATTACGACAATTTGAATTAAGGAAAAACTCTACAAACTAGGTCAAATTTAAATACCAAACAGAGGGTTTTCAGTCAGAAATAAACTCTTACCTAGCTGCAGCATGAGCGGTGTCAAATCCACCTACAACAGTCCAACATAATACATGCTAATCAGAAAACAACAGCAAATGATATACTTACCAAACAAACTTGATCAAAAACTTTGCAATTGCAATTAAATCAATCAAATTGATCAGTTACTTACCCAAATAAACTTGTTTCCCACAATCCCTGTTCATCAACACAAACACAACCAAAATTAATTCATTTTCTTCATTGATTTAGGGACACCAACACATGTGATCTATGCAAAGTGAATTCACAAATTCATAAAATATAAAAGATAGGTTATACCAAATATGTGATTCCCATCGTCCAGTTCTTCGATAAAACGTAACTCCGCGATACTGCGAGCTTCGAGACCTAGGCCCCCGCCGACTCTTCTTCACCTGCTGTTGCTGTGGCTGCTTGTGTTGCTGTTGTTGAAAATTTGTCAACTCCGGCACACCGCCAGAGTCAGAAAAAGAGAGATTCACGCACTGCGGCGGCCTCAACGAAGACGATCGAGAATCGAATTCGTCCGAATGACCACTGGGAAAAAACTGCCTGGTAACGAATTGGGGAGGCGAATTCTCATCAGAGTCGTCTTGGATTGCGATGATGATACTGGGATCTTTGGCCTTGCTGCTGAAGATATCGAAATTGAATGAACAAACACTGCTGGAAGGAGGATTAGAGGTGGAGTCTTCGTCCGGAGTATTATTGTTGACGATGGAGGAGATCGAAGTCCCGGAACAATCGTCACTTCTCGGAAGCTTCGTGATCTTAGTCGCCTCGACCTCATTGCAACTCGAATCAACGTTGAGATCCAACATCTCTGTCTGCGTCTCTCTAAGTTTAGAGTTGTTTGTGATAGTGATCTTGAATTAGAGAGTCTGAGAGTGATTTGAAGGTTGTAGAGAGCATTGATGTATTTGAGTTTGAGGAAACGCAATCAGAATCAGAAGAGGACTACAGTAATATCAATGAATTACAGAGATTGGAGAATCTGAGTTCAATGAATGAGACACTAAAATCACGAGAAAACTGTGGGTGAGGAGGCTTTGTCTGCGTCTGTGTTTATGTCTGTGAGTGTGAGTGTAACGCTCAGAGAGAAGAGAGAACAAATCAAGGTGAGACGTGTGAAAGAAGCTCGGAGGAGTTACATTACATTAAGAGAGAGAGAGAGAGAGAGAGAGAGAGAGAGATGAATGTAACGGCCATTGGTGAGGTTCCATGGAAAAGAAGAGAGACAGATGTCTAGATAGAGAGAGAGAGAGAGAGAGAGAGAGAGTTGGTTGTGGTAGAGGATTTGGATTTGGTGATGGAAGACAAGTGGAGTGGAGAGGAAGAGAAAAGAGAAGAAAAGAAATACTCTCTCTCTTCTTTCTCTCTCTCCACACAGAGAAGAGAGGGAGAGAGAGGGGCAAATAACAGACGCTTAGGGAAGAGATGCGACGTGGGAGCTGTGATGGCATCGTTAATTTTGTTAACTTGTTGGCTTTTTATTTACGGCGATACTAGGTGTGTTAATTAGTGTATTAATATTAATAATAATATTATTATTGATCTTACTCATTAATTATATTATAAATTTTAAATTTTTTTAAAATTATGTTATATTATCAATTAGTATATTAATTAATACATCTATTAATACATATATCATTATTCTTTTATTTATTTTTTGAAAATGTAAAGTAGTTACCAAAATAAGGATTTCGAGTAATGTTGGGCATGTTGGGCGATTTGTGTGACTTGTTTCAGGTTGTATTTTAAATTGTTTAAATTTTAAAATATATTACAAAAAATATATTTGTAAAAATTTAAGTTATTTAAATATTGATAACCGTTTTATCAAATCACATTTGTATTTATTTTTTTAATATACATATCTTCTTAGTGAAGGGGTTATTAATATCTAATTAATTTGATTTTTTATAAGTATATTTTTATTGGTATTTTCTACAATTTAAACGGTTTAAAATATCAAATTTAGACCTGAAACGAGCCTTACGGACCGCATAACAATTACCGTGGTGCATTAAGCACAACGGTGACACCATGTCCCCAAAATAATTACCATGAAATTTATTCTCAAAAGTAAGGCGGTGCAAAATACCATCCAATTTGCTAAAATCATATTGACCCGTACCAATTTATACTGTTCAATTCGTTAGCCGCAGATTAAATTTTAAAATTTATAATCTGTTTTTGAAATCGTTGTGTTCTACTACAATCAATACATATATATTTTTCAACCTTTAATAAAATATTAAATTAAAAATAAGTGTTGGAGATATTTAAGATGTGAAATTTATTACAAATTAATAGTTATATATATGAAAAATATTATACAAATTAGTATTATATATTTTACAGATGCTTGATAATTAGTTAAGAGTATGTTTCAATCCGTCAATCTATTCCAAACTATGATTTGAATATTTGCTAATCAACCAATTTATCATTTAATTTATAATTTTACTTTCAAACTATCCAAACCACACCTCAGACACCCCTACTCAACAGTGACGAATGGCTCATATTTAATTTTTGTGTAATGAAATCTATACTTGAAATGAATTTCCATCCCACATTATATTTTTTTGAATAAATTTTCTAATTATTTTTTTTTGAAAATGTAATTTAAACATACTAGGAGGAACAGTTGTATCTCAGCTATTTACAATTTATTTATTTTTTAGTGTGTGTGTGAAGTTATTAGTCTTAAACCAATAAATGACCAATTATTTATAAAATTAAAAAAAATTTATTCTAAAGTTGTTGATTAGGAAATTATTTATGGATTGGTAAAAAATAAATCAAAATAACATTTTTATCTAGAATAGTCGCAGAAAAATCCAAAAATACTCATCGCTACCTGTCATTGACTATTCACATGTTTCTCTCACATTTTGGGATACAACGTAAACAACGGTAGAATCGCACAGTAAAGACTACTACAACTTCTCTGCAATCTATTGAATTGAAAGATTATCAAAAATATAGGAAAAAGAAAAAAATTCTCACAATAAAGTGTTTATAATATATCAAAACTGTTTTTTTTTTTATTTTAAGTTTTATAAGTTTATTTATAATAGAACGAACCCTAATTCAACTTAGGAAATAAAGCAAAAAAAAGATGACACTCGCTAATTAAGCCTATACAAAAGAGAATACAAAAATTATCAAAAAAAAAAGTTTCGAGTTAAGCTCAAATAATATAGAATAAAAATTACATATTTTGAAAAATAAAAATAGTCTAAAACAGATTCATTCAGACCAAGTATTTAACGAATCAATTAGTTACAAAAATAGAAAAATCGCCAAACTAGAGGCCTAAATGGTAAAATTTGGTTGAAATCCATCATACAACATAGGAAACAATAGGTATTGATTGTAACATCATTTTCTATGTGGAAAATGCATAGGACCCCCAGTGGGGGTGTTGGGGGTCCCTTTTGATTGATCCAAAAAAAAATATATATTTTTTTCTTCCATTGCCAGCCTCCCACGTGGAGGTGGGAGTGCTAGGGGTTTGCCCAGCTGGGGGTCTCCAGCAAGACCCTTTCCATGTTTCAACTGAATTTCATGCCATTCAGAAAATGTGTTAGCTTGTGTCTAATAATACATTTTACCTTCGCCTTATTTGTCTAAAAATTCTAAAAACTCTATGATCAAATACTCCACATCATATTGTGTAGGGCTGCTCGCGGGTCGGTTTTGGCCAGGTGCGGGTCAAAACCGACCCAACCCACACTTATGCGGTTGGGGAAAAATGGACCCGCAACAGCCCGCGATGCGATTCGCTGTTTGTGCGGGCTGGTTCGGTTCGGTTCGGTTCGGTTTGCGGTTTAGTTTTTTTTTTTTTTTTTAAACTTAAGATCTGCTCAAACAAGGATGACTTTTGAATTGATATGTGATGTTTGCCTGCCTCTGCAAATGTTGGGACATAGGTTGAGGTGCCTTATTTTCAGTACATGACTTGGTATTAAATTATTGGATTTAGGTACATAGTTACATTTCTATGACTGTCTTGTTAGCTTGTTTGGTTCAAGAGGCTTTATCTTGTTAAAGGCTACTTTATGTAAAGGTAAAGTTAAGAGGTACTATGTGTATAAAGGAGTAGGTGGTGTTTGCAGATGATGGTGTGTTTTTCTAATATTAGTTAATTGGTTTGTGTTATAAATAAAAGTCAAACTAGTAACACTAATTTTAATAGTGGATTAATCTTCACTGTTTAGTTTTTAATATGCAATAATGTGATAATAGAATGACAATTCAAAATATCATATTTAACTGTGTCTACTAGACTAATGGAATATAATGATTTTTTTTTTATATGTATAAATAAAAGTCAAATTAGTAACACTAATTTAAATATCATTAGATCATGATAATGTATATAAGTGCCTATATAATAAATTTTACTTTCATCCAAAATGTAAAAACAAAAATAATAACTAGTTATCTCCATCCATCCAAAATGCAAAAAATAATAATAATAACTAGTTATTTTTTCTTTAAAAAAAAAAGAAAAAGAAGATGCGGGTTGAGGGCGGGTCGGGTTCGACCCGAACCCGATCTTTTGCCAATTTCTTGACCCGCACCCGCCCGCCTACCTACATCGAAACCGCCCAAAGCACTGCGGGTAGGGTAGGGTCGGGCGGTTTGTGCGGGCGGGTGGGTTTGTTGCCCAACCCCGTAGATCTTGTGTTTATTCTCTTCCTCTGGCATGCCATCCTTGCATCTACAGGGAACCTTTATAACTCTTCCTAAAGTGGTGATTTGTCAAGTGGTTACTATAGGTAAAATTGTCATTTTAATTTTTTTTTTCCTTTTTTTTACCAGTATGTATAAAATTTTTCCATTCTAGAGAAATTTTCCGATGTGCACCCCTTGACATAAGACTTCAGAATAAAATTTTAGTTTTATTGGATGTAATTATAACTAATTTATTATTTATTGACTTAGATCAAATAATTCTGTTTACAATTTATTAAGCATAAATAACTTAAAGAAATTAAATAAAAAAATAATTATCTAAAAACTAGAGAAGGGGTATTTTTTTATTTCTATTTTTTGATTATTGCCTTTTAGTTTATAATTAGTTGTACCAAACAAATTGTTAGATATGCTATATCATTTTTTTTTTAATTTCAATTTTATTTATAGGCATTGAATTAACAATATCAAGGTATGGGAATTTCTTAACAATATTTAATGACTATGAATAAATTAATTAGATTGAATTTATGGAAATAAATATTGAGTAAGAAAACAAATTACAAAAATTATAGAGCATATGAGAACAGTGATTGCCGACCCTATTTGATGAGACTTAAGATTTGATTTGGTTTGATTTGATTATGAGAACAGTGATTCCAGTGCAAGCGATAATTGTGTAAATATATTGGTGCAACTAATAAATTGATTTATACTTTGTTTTTTTTTTTCTCCATTTATTTGATATATATTTTTAGATTCACGTTGCCAATAGACAATATTATCATTTAATTATAAACCGTCATATTAAATAGTGAATCTTATTATTCAAATGTAATTCAATAATTATTATATCTTCATGGTAGGAATAATTATTAGGGATTTTTAGTTTAAGGTCATGATATTAAGATTTTATAAAATAAAAAACATGCAACATTTTCATTGTAGTTGGGTTTTAGCTCTTCAAAGAGAAATTTGTTAGGCTTTTGTAATTGACAATCCCGTTGGACAAAACTCCATTTAGTTGTATTTCTTTATTTGCTTTATTGTATCTGTAAGTTATGAGAGTTTAGATACGAATCCAACCTAAATTGAATTTATGCAAAGGAGTTTGTACTGACATTCCATATTTTGACTTGAGCATTCCTTATTTGCCACTTCGCTAATTAAGTATGGGGAGTGGTCTTTCCTACACTTGAGCGGTGAAGTGGTTCATCTAGAATCTCTGCCTTTATTCTGAATTTCTGGGAAACTTGTTTTATCGCTCGAGCGGTAGATGTTGCGCTCGAGCGGTTGGCCAATATGTGAGCACCGTCTTTAGTCACACAGCTTGAGCAGTAAAGTGAGCGCTCGAGCGGTCTTCGTGGCTCTGTTTAGTGTAAAATGTGTTGTTTTCTATTTTTAGGTTTTAACCCGTCCAAATTCTTATAGAGGAAGAGAAAACAAAGTGCTCTATATTAGAGGATGTTTATATATTGTTTTTCTTGATGATTTGAGGGTGATCCATTGATCAACAAGTTTCATATTGACTATCATTAAGAGTTGTTTTTGTTCTTTCATTCACAAAAAGAAAGAGGTGTTCATCAGTGGATTTCGGGGAACTTGGGCCTGAAGTTTTGGTGGATTCTGGAGTGGCTTATCTTCGTGATTTTGACATCGGTGTTGTAGATTCAACATTGTGCAAAGCAATTCCGAAGTGAAGACGGTGGTGGAATAGACACATCGAGTTTGGTTCAGTTCGAACA